TGATAGTTGTGATACTTGTCTGCGAATGACTATATATATATATATATGAATAACATGTTTAACGTTGCTTTTAGTGGATACTCTTGTTTGAGTAGAGATTCCGCGTATTTTTTAGATAGTATATTTATTTATTTTTATCTACCGGCCTGAATATTCAAGAAGGAAGAGATATATGCTGACTCCCGAAAATTCAGACAGGTAGAAAAAATATATATTGCTTAATAAATAAACGGCCCGTCTACATAAATAAGAGTTCCACTAAAAATAAGATTTAAAGTGATAAAAAAAAATAGTAAAAAATATCTATTAATTCTTTAGAAAAAAAAATATATATACACAGTAATATATATGTCCGGAAGATTACGGTCCAGCATGAAACAGACTATCGGCACTCGCTTTTGTATCCAGTGTTCAACTTTTACATATATATACGCTCTGTTTCTAATATGAAGTACTTTTACCCCAAAATATAGCATATATATGTGTGTAAAATTGTTCGCGCGTGTTTACGTTACTACTCCATACCTATTTAATGAGGTACACGACAACAGTAGCCGGGGCACCCTTTTTGAAGTTAATTCATTATCTATATTACTTTTTCATTATTTTTATTCTTCAACTGTATTCTTCAACAAGTCACCCATTCAATATTGCCTTGTGTGAACATTGCTTAACTCCCTTTGCGAAACGACGACAACTCTTGTCTAAAGTTTCTCGCATAACAGACGTATAGCACAGTGCCTTTGCTTCACATGAAATTTGTTATACACATCTACTTTGTATATTCATTCTAAAGTTGTCCCGATCGTTGAATTAGGGTGATTCGTAGATTCCAATATTAATATTCACTGTATAGTACGCACGGTGATTCTGCGTCTTATATGCTGTAAAATATTTTCTATACTCCTTGCTGTGTTGAATAAAACACAGACATATTGCTCTGGCACTCGGTGAGAAGAGATGATCATTTGGTTTATGAGATCGACTGTTCGATTATCTATTTATTAATCAGGTTGCCACATATATTCGCCTACACGCGTGCAATCGTATGTTACAAGTGCATTTGTTGTCGATTTTAAGAGGGTACATAATTTTCTTCGTCTCGTCTTGCGTCCTTATCCATGCATGTTTCCGCATCTATTTATAAATGGATATATGTTAGCCGCAAAAGTTCTGCTCGTAATAATTTTTCCAAAAATGAAGATGAAAACATCTTCTCAGAAATCGATATCTAACTTGATCAAAAGCGTCTATGAAAAAGTTCATATATATATATATATATATATATATATATATATATATATATATATATATATATATATATATATCCGAATATAATGATAACGAAAATAATATATAAAATATAACGTCCACAACATTAAGGATCAATTCCGATTATTTATTATAATTTTTTCATATAGACAAAAACAATTTACTCACAACAAAAATGCAACGTCAAGTGCAATTAAATGCACCGAAACGAAGTTGCATCTTTGTCGTGAGTAAATTGTTTATGTCCATATGAAATTATTATAATATCATCTATCTATCTATCTATTTATCTATCTATTCATCTATCTATCTATCTATTTTATATATATATATATATATATATATATATATATATATATATATATATATATATAATATAAATATATATATTTACATGAGTGAATGTCTACGCGAATATTTGTCGACGTCAATCGAGACATGCTGCCACTTGACGCCTTTCTGTCCTGAAAATTTTAGATACACATGAATGTACTGACTGCTTGATATACAAACCCGTGTATGGTACTAGGCTACATTTCTGGTAGCAGCTATACAGTTCTAACACGCTAATAATAAATTCTGTGACCAATAAATAAGCAGAAAAAATCATATGGCGCCAATCTCTAAAGGGGGAGGATGAGAAACTGGAAGCCCGGGCTTACCTGTATTTGAATAAAAACCAGTCAGCTATGGTTGTAACTACACCGTGAGGCCACGTCTAGTAAAAGCTTCATGATTTTTTTTTTTTTGTATGTGTAAGTGTGTAGATGTCTTCCTGCGTTTATATATGCAACTTCATACTTATGTGTATCTGCGTTTGATAACAGACCGTACTATATATATATATATATATATATATATATATATATATATATATATATATGCGTGTGTGTGTGTGTGTGTTTGTGCGTATGTTTGTGTGTATGTATATATATGCTTGTGTATTTGTTGAATGCGAGTGGATTTGTATATGCAGCTATATGTGTGCACATATTAAACGAGATCTTTGTGCGTGTATTGGATAGAATGTGTATGCGTATGTATACAATATGTTTTATGTGTGCTTAAGCGTGTATTCCTAAGAGTATGCGTGTGCGCGTGTGAGCCTGTTTTGCGCGCATTGCTTGAGTTGTATAACTGAGCAGGATCATGCAAGTGGTTCTGTAATGACTGCCGCTACCAGAGACTGGCGGGACACAGACATACTAAACTGCATGGAAGCTATTTC